GCTCAGTATTTAAAGCCCCTCAGCTGCTGCTCATCCCTGACAGGCCCTAGGCAGTTGGCATGCTGCTGCAGGCTCCCCTGGAGCTAACCCCTGCCCATGTCTCCAGCCTCCACCCCGCCCACCCACTCCCTGCCCAAGTGCCACCTTCATGCCTTGCTCACACTATCCCTTCTGCTTGGATGTCCTCAACCCTTTCACCCCCCTCCCCCCGTTCTCCCTGTCTTCAAACCATTCTTTAAGTGGCAGCCTAGAGATAACGTTGTAAGACACCACCCCCCAGCCACCACCCCCAATACAACTTCCACCCCCAAGCTAGATCAGACGCCCCCAGCACATTTTATGTATTTTTCTGCTCATGGATTTATAGTTTTGTGTCTCCCCACCCACTCACCCTCACCAGATCCTTGAGGGGTGGAATAGTGTCTTATTCATAGCACACAATGACTGGCTCAATATTTATTCAAGCCGTATTTATGATTTGCAAGAATAAATGAGAGGCTAGAGGAAGTGAATTTGGAAGCACTGCTCTTCAATGCCAAAGACCTGGACAGGTGCCACTTTACCCAGAAGCAGGACATGAGAGAAGAGCTTATGGCAAGCTGGAGCAGGGAGTCCCATCAGTGATGACCAGACCTATGGGTCCATCTTCCAGAGGCTCAAGGAACTCCAGGGTGTAACTATGCAAAATTAAGTTACATCCTGGGGTCACAGCCCTCCAGCAGCATCCCCTTCCCACTCCCAGCCTGTTGCAGCCAACAAGACCCCCACAGACAAAAACAGCTTTCTCCTGTCTCCTGGGCAGCAAGCTTGGAGACATGGCCAGTTCTTTCCCTGGCTAAGGGACAGAGGCCTGGATTATCTAATTCCTGAAGGTAGCACTACCAATTGCAAGGGCCCTTGGCTCCTGTCTTATAGGCTGTTTCTCCCTCTCCACCCATTCCCAGAGCTTACCACCTTCTATATCAAGACAGGATGGATGGGTTCCCCCAGGACCAGCTCAGCCAAAATGGAAGGACTTCACCCCCAGCACAAGGTGGGTCACCCCATATCCTACACATTAGACATACCTTTCCCAGACCCAAGACAAATGCCATGTTCCCCAAAGGAAGAGGGAAAGGGGTCGGGAGGAAGTCTAGAGCAAGGATTCAATGGAGAAGGAGAAACCAAGAGGAGCTTTGAGATCAGAATTAAATTCTTTAATACAAAATGCTTTTTTTTTAAGATATATCTGTATTTCTTTGTCGTTGTTTAAAAATAAATATGTACTACGGAATATCTCGAAAAACTGCACTAGAGACAAAGACGTGATGTTAATATCTTTTCCCCACAATTATTACGGATAAACAGTAGCACCAATAAATAAATGATAACAAATATTAAAATTAAAAAAGGAGAGAGATTTAGTATGTAGAATTCTCTATTTTTTCTTGTTTTGTTTTTACATATAAAAAACAGAATAGCAATGTCTATTTTATCAGAATCACATATATACATAAACATATATATATATATACACACAAATACAAGTTGCCAAATATATATATAGTATGTAGATGTATATTGAAACCTTATTTCAAAGGAATGTGTGCTGGGGAGCCAGGGGAACGGGGAGGGCAGAGCTAAGTGTTAGCAAAATTAAATATCTGTTCAAGATAAGCTAGTGACTGTCACCGATCAGGGAGAGAGAGATTGGAAACATGAATTTTATATACAAAAACCGGTACAAATAAGAGAGCGAGAGAGAGCAAAAGATACATCTCATAAATAGTTGAAATTAAATATTAACCAAGAATACTGAAAAAAACCCTACTCTTTAATTAAATTAACTGTTTTAATTTCTAATTAAAAAGGGATATTAAATAAGTACCGTATATAAAACACTTTCTCTTTTCTCTGCCTCCACAATGGGCACGTGGATCCTGCCCTGTCTCTCTGTGCCTCGGGAAGGGAAAGGAAGGACCAGGGGATGGAGGAAGGTCAACCACTCACACACACACAACCAGGTCTCCTAGGGGGACAGAACTAGTGGTTTCAATGGTGTGAGGACATCAGGTCCTTTTAAGCTACACCCCAGGAAGGGGAGCAGGAAGAGGACGAGGGTGAATCCCAGGAAGGGGAGCTGTCATGGGCTGCTTCTTCCAACAATGTGTCTCTTCTCTTCGCCGGGCCATCTGCCAGTGGCCTCCTGGGCAACTCAGAAGCAGGTGAGAGTAAGTGAAGGCCGCCCAGGCTCCTGAATCTTCCAGGCGCTGCCCCTGGGGGCAAGATGCGCATGCAGCGTGTGGAGGGAATCCCCAAAGCACAGCAATGTCCTGAAGCTCCCCAAACTCCTAGTCAGAGCCAGTGTCCTCGTCCCTGTACCTGTCATCTGTCTTTCTGTCCATCTGACCCGGGGTAGAGGCTCGGTGCCAGGGCTGGGTTTGTCGGTGTTCCCAAAAGTGGGTCATATTTGCCCCCAGACCCCGGCCTTGCACGTTCCTGGGCAGGGGAGGGGACCCTGGCCCCACCAAGTGGGACAAAAAAAAAGATCATGCCAGAGTCTCTCATCTCCTCCTCTTCCCTGTCAGGATCTGAGTGGGAACATTCCCCCTCCCAACTCAAGTCCACAGCAGTCAAATACATCCAGTGAAGACACCAATAACATTAGCACTGTTAATTTAAAAAAAGAATATATATATTTTATATGTATTTTATATAAAATATAAAATATATGTATTTTATATAAAATATAAAATATATATATATTTACATCTATATATGTGTGTATATATACACACACACACACAGAGAAGAAATTCCTTGGGATAACTCTCTTGGGTCGAAAATACAAATTAGTGCCGTTTTCCTGGGGCAATGCCATACAAGCAGAGCCAGAGTGGAAGCTGAGGTCTGGAGGCAGCCTCAAAGATGGAATCCTTCAGGGATGTTC